ATTTAGATTCAGTTTTTTTAATAAATTAATGTCATTCAAAATACAGTGCCAGAACATGATGCAGCTGAACATGCTAGTAAGGTTGTAATGAAGCACCTGTGTTCATGTTAGAATGGCGGCGCCCCGCTACTGCTAGTGGTTCCTGGGATTAATGCCAGAGCAGCACTAGTCATCTGCTCTCCTGCACACAGCATACAGAATATTCCTGAACAATTCGCTCCCCTCCAAAAAAAGTAAAAAACCTGATAGCTACGGGATATCTATACACAATCACACTACAGTAATGCTTGTTATTAAATTAACAAAAAATAAAGACCTGGTTAATCCACACTAAAACTTTGTTTTACATTGGAAAAATACATCAGCAGCAGGAAGTAATATACATGAGCCAATGTTACTGTAATACAGAATGTGGAGGCATTTATGATTAAAACTCCACACAGACCCGCACTATGAGTGGCTGGCAATTCCTATTGCAAGCCCAGCAATTTAAGTCCACATCTGGTAATCCACCAGCTGCTTGGAAGACCTGTATTCTAAACAGACAGGTATAAGTTAGTGAAAATAGAACACATGCACCTAATATACACCTTGACTGAACCTGCAGCCATTTTGCCCTGCATGTTACCATACAATGGAAGATCTACCCTTCCTACCACAGGTAGATCCATGGGATTTGTTTATTCATTTAAATGGCATTACTATACCAATATGGAAATTGGTGTTAAGTGCAGCACATTCCATTACTTAGGCCACGCAAATTATATAATGAGCACTATAGTAGTATATCCAGAAGTAGTTCAAATATAACTGGAAGATATTTTCAGTTTTGACATACCATGCTAGCAACAGTAACTGCTTTTGTAATTTTTCTTGAACTGAAAGTTCATAGGACTAGAAATCAATTCTTCAGACAGTAGTCAGATGCTTAAGCTCATGATATACATACAGGTTTCTCTCAATTATCAGATAGTATCTCAGATTATGGAAGCATATCTGCTTAGAGTCACTGGTTGATACTGAATGACTGCAAATGATAAGTAGGGCATAAAAATACAATTATGAAAGACCGGTTTAATGTTTTAATTTCCAGCTCTGTTCTTTCATTAAAGTTTCATTTCAAATAAGTGAGCCCAGAAGCAGGTGTGCAGTCTTTAAGTGGGGAGCTATACAGGTGGTAGAGTAACCATTTCCCCATCCAGCTCAAACTCATCAGCCCCATCTGGTGAAAAGAGATAGGTTGGAGGTTTCCATGGGGACTCTTCAAGACAAGATGGATACAGCTTTCCCACAGTGCATCGGAAGTCTTTTCCTAAGTCCCAGAGCACACGTTCCGATATATGCTGTCGTAGAGACCACCGATCGAGCTCCAGATCATATTGGTAGGTGGCGTACTTGGCTCTCTCGTTCATGTGAGTTTCTCGTATAAAGACACACAAAGAATTGGAGATTACAACAGCTCTAACACAAGGGTCAGAATACCGCTTGGCAGGGATATTAGCTGCCATTCTCCATTCATTTTTATTCACATCATAGACTTCCACAGTTACAGAAGACCCATCTACGGTGCTAGTTGGGAGTCTTATACCAGAATTGCTGCCAATATGCAATCCTCCAATATAGAATATTTTGTCACCAAAAGCAGCAGCAGAAGCAAAGCATCTACTAGTTTGTCTCATAGCCATTTCTACCCAAGCATCCGACCTGGGAAAATAACAGTACATCAAGTTGTGTGCCATTACATAAATGCAGTTATGAACAGCTACCGCTGTACTCCACTGCCATGCACAAGGCAACGGGCTTACCATGGTCCATTCATCTCTCTCACTATCATATCTTTCAACAGTTCTTCTGTTGAGTTCTCCGCCTACGCTATCTCCTCCAATTGCATAGATGTATCCTTCACAGCAGACCAAGGAAGGCTTTATACGAACAAAAAGCATTGGAGTCTTTGGAAACCAAGTGTTTTGCTGTGCATCAAACCAGTAAAAGCAATTCACAGTTCTGAAGGCAGCCTGAAGTTTGCTAGTTTTACTGTGATTGGTTTTTGTGTTTTTCAGAGGAACTTGGCCACCTGCTATATAGATATCATTATCAGGAGTTACAAGTGTCCCAACCTTATGCAAGTCGGCAGGAGGGTTGCAAAGCTTGTAAACTTTTTCTGCCTGGGGGCTGTAACAGACAGAAGAGTAAAGACTACCAGGATTTTCAGCAGCAGCTTCAATGAATATCATCATCTCCTCTTTAGTCATACCAAGTCTTGGTTTGAAAAATTTGGGCATAGATTTGTATAATCCTTGCACCACCACCGATTTATCATTAGGTGGTAATCCTTGAAACCAGGCTCTCTGTGTTACTTCTGAAAGTGCATCAATTCTGATTTGGCTAAGAACAGAGGACAAATACTGTGATCGTGATTCTGTGTTGTATTCCAGCCATAACATAGCAGCTTCACGAACTGTCTCCTCTTTTTCCACATTTAAATTGTCACTGCTTAAAATATCTACCAGCAGATCATGTGATAGTTGCATGAAAGAATCCTGGTGGTATACAGCGGTGAACTTGTGCTCTACCATTCTCTTAGCACTTTGTTTTAACTCTTCACAGCTGAAGAGATCCGCAAAACTTAATAATCGCACACAGTTCTCTGCATTTATTTTTTTAATTAAATATTCTCGACATCGCTGTAACACATCTTCTACCTGTAATGAAAAAAAAAAGACCACTTAAAGTACTAGAGACAAAGACCTATTGCTTTACCTACCATTAAGATGCAAGAGATACAAAAAAGGAAGAATAACTGCACTGACACTACTACAGACTGAACTTCTCTAGTCTGGCAAATTCTGATCTGGCAGCACGATTGTAGTTAGCTGGATGTCCACTTATCATGGGTGTGGCCAAGTTTCCCACAATCCCGTAAAGTTTGTTTAGTCACCAGGCCTTGCTCTCAAGTATTCTGTGCTGTTATTTAACTCTAACTCCTAAATGTCTTTTAAAAGCCCATTAAGCAGTGGAAGTGTTGGCAATGTTGCTAGACAATACTGATCTCCCGAGATTCGGCAAATTTTCTGTTTCAGCACCAGTCAGGTCTCAATGGTGCCAGACTAGAGAAGTTTAACCTGCAGTAACAGTAGGTTTTTGAGCTAAGAACATCTGTCATGCAACCCAGAAAGCTACATTTAGTTTGATTACACAATTTGATCTTTTTGTACGTTGCCATGTTTGCGTGACCGGCTCTGTTCAATATCTTCATCAACGATTTAGATAGTCATTGAAAGCAATATTAAGTTTGCAGATGATATCAAGCTGGGAGGGGCTGCAACTGCTTTGGAGGACAGGGTCATAATTCAAAATGATCTGGACAAATTGGAGAAGTGGACGGAGGTAAACAGGATGAAGTTTAATAAAGACAAATGCAAAGTGCTCCACTTAGGAGGAACAATCTGTTTCACACATACAGAAGGGGAAGCGACTGTCTGGGAAGGAGTACAGCAGAAAGGGATCTAGGCGTTATAGTGGACCACAAGCTAAATATGAGTCAACAGTGTGACGCTGTTGCAAAAAAAGAAAACATGATTCTGGGATGCATTAACAGGAGTGTTGTGAGCAAGACATGAAAAGTCATTCTTCAGCTCTACTCTGCACTGGTTAGGCCTCAGTTGGAGGGCATCAAGAAAGATGTGGAGAAAATGAAGAAGGTCCAGAGAAGAGCAACAAGAATGATAAAAGGTCTAGAGAATATGACCTATGAAGGAAGGCTGAAAGAATTGGATTTGTTTACTTTAGAAAAGAGAAGATTGAAGGGGGACATGATACCTGAAAACTGCTATCTAAAAGTGTGTCATAAGGAGGAGGGAAAAAACTTGTTCATTTTGGTCTCTGAGGTTAGAACAAGAAGCAATGGGCTTAAACTGTAGTAAGGGAGATTTAGGTTGGACGTTAGGAAAAAGTTCCTGTCAGGGTGGTTAAACACTGGAATAAATTACCCAGGGAGGTTGTGGAATCTCCATCTCTGGAGATATTTAAGAGTAGGTTAGATAAATGTCTATCAGGGATGGTCTAGACAGTATTTGGTCCTGCTGTGAGGGCAGGACTCTGGACTCAATGACCTCTCGAGGCCCCTTCCAGTCCTAGTATTCTATGAAGTGTTTAGCCCCCTACCTGCTTGGGTGTTTTGCTTAGCTTCTTACAAAAGCTTCTTATAAAGCGCTACAAATTGTTTTTAATTCCACTTATTCTGAAACCATAAAAGTCGGTTGTGGGGTTATACTTGCAATGGTTGTCCACACAAATATGAACAATCTTGAGAAAACATTATAAAATTGCTATTTTTTTTAAAAAGGAGACGGATATTTTATTGAAACGTACGGAAAAAATTAGAAACATTTTGGTACAGAGATTGAGCAGTTATTATGCATCTTACTTAAAATATACATGATGTTCCTACCTGTAAGAAGCAAGCAGTCTCATAAAGCTGTTCTACCGTGCTGTCACTTATTGCCAAGTTACCCGTGTATGCATAAGTTATTATAATTTGTAAAGTGGCTGCATCCACATTCCTCAGATGTACATGTGTTTGTTTGCTTTCACTTAGCCCACTCATGAACATGGCTCTAAGGAGAAAAAAATCACATTATGGCTGACAAGGATAAATATTGTAATCCTAAATAGCTGCTTTTAGTTATTTATTCACTCCAATGACGAAGGAGAAAGATACCTAAAAGTTGCTTGCAATTTCAAACTTGAAAAATTCCTAATGTGATTTTCAATTTACATTAATATGTAGTACTTACCTTAGATCATCCAGCATTTAAGATAGATGTTTAAACCAAGTTTTTCGAATTATATTAGTAACTTCAATTTTCTACATAGGTGAAAATACACTAGTCAATATTAATGTAGACTACCATGCCATTTTAAACAATAAGCAGAGACTGACGTGACATGGTTGCAGAAATATTTTATACTTTATCTTACAAGGACAGATGCATCCTCTAGCAAAAGCTGCTAAAAAAATGCAAAAAATGCTTCCTGAAAAATGCATGTTAGTTTTGATTTTGATTTTTAAACTCATATATCTTAACCTGTTGCATCTTATGCAGGACACAAGAACTTATGTTAGATCAGGGATGTAGAGAGGTACTTGGGTTGACAGAAAGACACAACTGCCTTTCAAATAAGTCTTACCACTTATTTACCATTTGTTAAACACAGAAGTCTGGCATGGTTTTTTCTGCCACTTCTTTAAAAAAAATCAGTGTCTGCATTCCTCCCTCCCTAATGCTGGAAGGTCATAGAATCATAGAATCATAGGACTGGAAGGGACCTCGAGAGGTCATCGAGTCCAGCCCCCTGCCCTCAAGGCAGGATCAAGCTCCGTCTACACCATCCCTGACAGATGTCTATCTAACCTGTTCTTAAATATCTCCAGAGAGGGAGATTCCACCACCTCCCTTGGCAATTTATTCCAATATTTGACCACCCTGACAGTTAGGAATGTTTTCCTAATGTCCAATCTAAACCTCCCCTGCTGCACTTTAAGCCCATTACTCCATGTCCTGTCCTCAGAAACCAAGAGGAACAAATTTTCTCCTTCCTCCTTGTGACACCCTTTTAGATATTTGAAAACCACTATCATGTCCCCCCTTAATCTTCTTTTTTCCAAACTAAACAAGCCCAGTTCATGAAGCCTGGCTTCATAGGCTTCTCTAGACCTTTAATCATTCTTGTCACTCTTCTCTGTACCCTTTCCAATTTCTCCACATCTTTCTTGAAATGTGGCGCCCAGAACTGGACACAGTACTCCAGCTGAGGCCTAACTAGTGCAGAATAGAGCGGCAGAATGACTTCACGAGTTTTGCTTACAACACACCTGTTAATACAACCTAGAATCATATTTGCTTTTTTGGCAACAGCATCACACTGTTGACTCATATTCAACTTGTGGTCCACTATGACCCCTAGATCCCTTTCCGCCATGCTCCTTCCTAGACAGTCGCTTCCCATCTTGTATGTATGGAACTGATTGTTCCTTCCTAAGTGGAGCACTCTGCATTTCTCCTTATTAAACCTCATCCTGTTTACCTCTGACCATTTCTCTAACTTGCTAAGGTCATTTTGAATTATGTCCCTATCCTCCAAAGAAGTTGCAACCCCACCCAGTTTGGTATCATCTGCAAACTTAATAAGAGTACTCTCTATCCCAATATCTACATCATTGATGAAGATATTGAACAGTACGGGTCCCAAAACAGACCCTTGAGGAACTCCACTTGTTATCCCTTTCCAGCAGGATTTAGAACCGTTAACAACAACTCTCTGACTACGGTTATCCAGCCAATTATGCACCCACCTTATCGTGGCCCTATCTAAGTTATATTTGCCTAGTTTATCAATAAGAATATCATGCGAGACCGTATCAAATGCCTTACTAAAGTCTAGGTATATGACATCCACCGCTTCTCCCTTATCCACAAGGCTCGTTATCCTATCAAAGAAAGCTATCAGATTAGTTTGGCATGACTTGTTCTTCACAAACCCATGCTGGCTATTCCCTATCACTTTATTACCTTCCAAGTGTTTGCATATGATTTCCTTAATTACCTGCTCCATTATCTTCCCTGGGACAGACGTTAAACTGACCGGTCTATAATTTCCTGGGTTGTTCTTATTCCCCTTTTTATAGATGGGCACAATATTTGCCCTTTTCCAGTCTTCTGGAATCTCCCCTGTCTGCCATGATTTTTCAAAGATCATAGCTAAAGGCTCAGATACCTCCTCTATCAGCTCCTTGAGTATCCTGGGATGCATTTCATCAGGACCTGGTGACTTGCTGACATCTAACTTTCCTAAGTGATTTTTAACTTGTTCTTTGTGTATCCTATCTTCTAAACTTACCCTCTCTCTGCTTGTATTCACTACGTTAGGCACACCTCCAGACTTCTCGGTGAAGACCGAAACAAAGAAGTCATTGAGCATCTCCGCCATTTCCAAGTTCCCTGTTACTGCTTCTCCCTCCTCACTAAGCAGTGGGCCTACCCTGTCCTTGGTCTTCCTCTTGCTTTTAATGTATTTATAAAAGGTCTTCTTGTTTCCCTTTATGCCTGTAGCTAGTTTGATCTCATTTTGTGCCTTTGCCTTTCTAATCTTGCCCCTGCATTCCCGTGTTGCTTGCCTATATTCATCCTTTGTTAGTTGTCCTAGTTTCCATTTTTTATATGACTCCTTTTTTATTTTGAGATCATGCAAGATCTCCTTGTTAAGCCAAGCTGGTCTTTTGCCATATTTTCTATCTTTCCTACACAGCGGAATTGTTTGCTTTTGGGCCCTTAACAACGTCCCTTTGAAATACTTCCAACTCTCCTCAGTTGTTTTTCCCTTCAGTCTTGCTTCCCATGGGACCTTACCTACAAGTTAAGGTCAGTTATAAAGTTTTTTAAAAGTGTAATATAATCACTAAAAGAGGATGGTTTCATATTGTTCTTTACAGCGGATCAGCTGTGCTGCGGCTGCTCCTTTAAAATGCCGCCTCTGGCGTTTCAAAGGGACAGCTCCTGTGGAGCCCGGCGTCAGCAGGGGACTCCCAGCTGATCCTGGGCTCCATGTGGCAGTGAAACCTGGGATCAGCAGGGGAGTCCCCCACTGACCCCAGGCTCCATCACTTTGAAATGCACAAGAGCCCTCGCTGGGGACTCTTGTGCATTTAAAAGAAGGCACCTGCATGCAGCCTGGAGTCAGCAGGGCTTCCTGCTGGCCCGGTCTATACACTAAGTTCCGCATTCCTCCTTTGAAAGGTACAAAAGCCCCAGTGGGGGTCTTGTACATTTCAAAGGAGGAATGCGGAAACGCCTATCCACTAGTCAAGTACTCAATGCAAATTCCATTGATTAGTTGACTAGTCAATCACATTTTCACATCCCTACCTGGGTGTCTGCATTGGGGGCTCCAGGCCAGAGCCAGTGTGCATGGGGCACAGGAGGCAGCTCATTGGAGATGGCTGTGGCATTTGGTTGCCAAACATTCCCCTGGGGAGATCCCCTGCTCTCCAGTGGCCAGGGCCATGAAGAGCCAAGGTCACCATAGGTAGCTGGTGAGTTCCCAATTCACCTTTCCCAGGGCAGGAGTCTTGCTGAAAGGCCATGGGAGGCAGGGACAAAGAGTTGGCAGCTACACTCCACAGCCACAAATAATAATTTTTTGTGCTATATAGTTCTAGAAAAACACATCTTCAGAAATCACTGCCATCTTTGCCTCAAGGCCCAAACATATAGAATAGTGGTTTTCAATACTGCCTATACTGTGAAGCCACATTACAAAAAGAATAAAGTTTGGGGAATCCCAATTCAAGCTAGTTCTAAAGAAAGGAAGACCCTTAGATTGGGAACCAATGAGATAGAAGATCCATGGTCATTACTAATGTATCAGTTCCAGATTCTAGTTTCAAAGCTTTTGCCTCCAGTACCAGAAGGCAGAAAAATGTTTCAGTGACAATATATATGACTAAGCCCTATTCTAAAACCTCAGCACAGGTTAATTTTTTTTCTAAAACTTGGTATAGCAAAATCCAAAAAGATAGTATGAGAACTAAACAAATGTACCCAAGATAAACCCCTGTTAAGAGTTAAACAGAACAGGATATACTGCGTATAAAACTACATGAGCAGCTCACAAGAAATAGATAGCCCTGGCACAGTACAAATTTTAGGATTAAAACAATGCTTAATTCTCCATCCTGAAGGAGGGCCCTCTTTGAAACCCAAAACAGAGGCTCTGGGCTTCTGTTGTGTATATTTTTATTATCCAACTCAAAACATGAAATAAGGCAGAAATCCCTGCATTTAAAAGACAAATAGAAGACACTTGTTCAAGGAGTACAGAGAGTAAGGAGTGTGTTAGGAGAGATGAAGGGATTGTCTTCTCTAAGAGGGAAATCCCTAGTCAACTTAGCCTATTTTAGAACACTTAACAGAAAGGACACAAATATACTAAAAAGCTGGAAAGAGCTGTTCCACATGTTGAAGACAGAAAATGAACTCCATCACATAGCCCTGTTCTGGAGTTAGTTCTGCCTACTGAACATAAAAAAAACCATTTTCTCTCTCCAAATGCTGGACAATGATGCAATCCCTTAGTTGGAAGAAGACAAAGATGTTGAAAAACCCTACTTTGACCATTTAATGTTACCTAAAATAATAATATTTTAAGAGCTCTACTATTCACTTCAGATTTCCAGCACTAAAAATATTTAAATGGTTGAACTATACATTTTAACTATGTAGATCTAGCAATGCTTACAAAACAGCATGTCTAACTGAACGAATAGATGATTTAAACCCTTACCTGAAATAGGAGCTGCATGTTGCAAGAACCATCTTATGGCAGGGGAATTCAGTGCCCTCAACAATCAACACTATGTCAGTTAGCAATTGCTGTTCATAGAACAATTTTAACTGTCCCAGCAAGGATACTGCATATTCGGTATTGATCTGCCTTTCGTCCTGAGTAGACATGACTGTATTCCATTAATATTTCCAGGACCAGATTAGAGAAGCAAGGATCTTTCTGCAGGAGAAATCAGTTTCTGGAGTAACAAGAAGAAACTGCAGATGTTTGTAGCGTTTAGAAATTGTATTGATACATTAGGCAGTGTTATCTTGGACTGGTGTATCAAGAATGTTTCAGACTTCAACCTACTACTAGGTCATCACGCATTGATTTGGTATCACAATCTGTTTTCTCAAGACTTTTTCAAGAGTGTTTGCAGAGCTGCTGAGATTTGTAATGATGCAGCACATTAATGAGCAAAAGTGAGGTCTGAGGTAGATTTCGTGGAAACATCTCATGATCAGTGGCTGCAAGCAAGAAAATAAAATTGGTTCACAAATTAGTATCTTTTTAAAACCACAATTTCTTTATAGTTCTACTGACTAAAATGGTTGCCTTGAGTGCACATTATCTGAAATACAATTTTAAACACCACACACATTTCTAGAAAGATACTGAAACAAGTGCAAAAATATCTAAACGTTAAAAATAATGATATGGAAAAACAGAACAGTTTGCACATGATTTTTCTTCCCGTTAAGGATCCTAGATACAGGCAGTCCCCGGGTTACGTACAAGATAGGGACTGTAGGTTTGTTCTTAAGTTGAATCTGTATGTAAGTCGGAACTGGCGTCCAGATTCAGCCAGTGCTGAAACTGACCGCCAGTTCTGACTTACATACAGATTCAACTTAAGAACAAACCTACAGTCCCTATCTTGTACGTAACCCGGGGACTGCCTGTATCTAGGATCCTTAACGGGAAGAAAAATCATGTGCAAACTGTTCTGTTTTTCCATATCATTATTTTTAACGTTTAGATATTTTTGCACTTGTTTCAGTATCTTTCTAGAAATGTGTGTGGTGTTTAAAATTGTATTTCAGATAATGTGCACTCAAGGCAACCATTTTAGTCAGTAGAACTATAAAGAAATTGTGGTTTTAAAAAGATACTAATTTGTGAACCAATTTTATTTTCTTGCTTGCAGCCACTGATCATGAGATGTTTCCACGAAATCTACCTCAGACCTCACTTTTGCTCATTAATGTGCTGCATCATTACAAATCTCAGCAGCTCTGCAAACACTCTTGAAAAAGTCTTGAGAAAACAGATTGTGATACCAAATCAATGCGTGATGACCTAGTAGTAGGTTGAAGTCTGAAACATTCTTGATACACCAGTCCAAGATAACACTGCCTAATGTATCAATACAATTTCTAAACGCTACAAACATCTGCAGTTTCTTCTTGTTACTCCAGAAACTGATTTCTCCTGCAGAAAGATCCTTGCTTCTCTAATCTGGTCCTGGAAATATTAATGGAATACAGTCATGTCTACTCAGGACGAAAGGCAGATCAATACCGAATATGCAGTATCCTTGCTGGGACTAGAACCAAAACATATATTGTAGGTCAATATTCTACAGATATCAAGTTAAATCCAAGTCAGATGACAAAGTTAAGGTTCATTTGGCAATACTGCATATTTATGACTGCATTCTTCTCTCAGGAGTACCTTACATTCTTATTTTAGTGGCAGGAACTCCTTTATTTGTTCCAGCTAATAGTAAAGACTAGATATGTTAACTAACCTATATTTGTGTAAACATGTAACTGCTGTATTTATTAGCGGTTACACGTCAGGGGGGAGGCGGGAGCTGATGTTCACAGGGGACTAGCCTAAAAGCTGGCCCCAGGAGCACTGGCTCCTAACGCTGCCCCGGCCCACTGCCTCTGATAAAGAGGCAGCAGCATAGGAGTAGGCAGCTCTACAGGAGCCCATACACATGGGGAGCTGGCTTGAAAGCCGCTTCCTGAGTGTACTGGCTCCTGCCTCTCCCCCAATACCCTCCGTGCTGCTGCCTCTGTAGGAGGTAGTGGGGGGGGGGAGAGGAGGGACGGGGAAAGGCTGCTCCAAGGGAGCCAACTTAAAAGCTGGTTCCCCACAGGCACCAGTTCTCGCCTCCCCTGCCTTGCTCCATCTGACACCGAGACAGCAAGCATGTGTGCACGTGCGCAGTTGTTAAGATTAACTGATAAACCCAGGCTTATCAGTTAATTGTGTAAACAATTACATGCCATCATCGCTAGTGAAGATAGCCATTGTCTATAAATTTAGGATTTGTATTCCATCCCAATATAAAAATTCTTGTGTGTGAACTGTGCAGTTTTTACATAATTGTTATCAACATTTGAACATTAGAGATGCAAGCCTTTCCATAGTTAGTTAGTAATAGTCATATTTCCAACATCACATCCAACCTTCAAAAAAACCATACCTGCCTGTTTTGCAGGCCACATCTCAACTTTTCAGACAAAAAATTCTACTATAGGACAAATGGTACTTGGGACATTGGGTTACAATATATTTGCTTTATTTTTTTCTAAGTTTTGTTTTGGTCACTACATATTTTCAACGTCTTCATCTAACTTTACACTTGACTTATTTGGTTAGATATCAAGACACTCACTATATGAGGAAAAGAGTTCCAGAGTCTCTTAAAGTGGTTCAAGGAAAAAACATTTCTTAAAGAGGTCTTAGTACAAAAAAATTTCAGATCTGAGCCTAGAAAGTTTGCATACATAATGAAGTGCTCAGATACTATGGTGATGGTCATTACAAAAAACTAAGCTATACAAAGCCAAATCACTGATCTGATGGAAGTAACTGACTAATCCCCTGAAATCAAAGTCAGCTGAAGTGATAAACCAGTTTTTGATAGCAGTTTTGCAAAACATTTTTAGAAACTTTGTGTAGGTTTAGCACATTATATTTAACTAATAAAATTACCATTTAAATATTATTTTGTGCATCGGCTGAATTTTAATTTTGGTCCATGTAGAGCTTGACATATCAGAATTTATTATTCATTAATTAGAGAATAAGGCATATTTTCTTTCAAATTAAAAATGTGTAAATTAAGACTCAAATGTAGACTATTACATATCTTAACTAAGTATGCATATGAGCAGTGTATCCTAGTTAGAAAAAAGCAGCACCAAACTTAGTATAAGTCACTTAACTGTAAGCACTTACCAACCAAAGTAGGGATGTGAAAGATTAACCAATAAGCATCACTCACTAAAGATGTTAAGTATCAGTTAACAGAATAGTCGATTAACCTCATGAATTCTTATTGGTTAGTCTATAATCGGACTATTCTATAATCCCTGGGGGCAGGGCCAGCAGCCAGTGGGTTCCAGCCCCACGCCTGGAGAGCCCCCTGCCATCCTGTTCTGCTGCACAGCGAGGCAGCAGCATGGGGTGCCAGGTGTGAGCTGTTCTGAGGGGAGCCAGTTTAAAAAACAGCTCCCCTCGCGGCCCAGCTGCCTGCCACCCTGGGCTGCTGCCTCTGATACCTGCCCAGGGGGGTGGAGGGCCGGGTCTGAACTCCCAGACCCAGCACTAGCAGGAACTCAGCGGGGCTGCCTGCCTGCCTGGCTCCTAATACACTTTAAATGCAGAGCCACAGTGGGGGTAGGTCCCGGACTCGGTGCAACCTGGGACTGAGCTGGGCTGCTGGCCAGCCTGCTCAAATATTTGGGGAGGGGGGGAAGGGGGAAGGTCTGGGAAATGCTTGTAGTCTATAGCAGTGGTACGCAACCTTTTTTAATTCACAAAGGAACATTTTTTGTTGATGCAAAAAAAAAAAAAAACCACCCCACCCCAAAACCCACTCCAAAAAATGCTCTCTCCGCTGCGTGTAAGTCAGGTGCCAAGCCGGGAAAACAAAATGGCAGCCAGCACAGCACTGCAACCCCCCAGGAAGACAGCTACGACCACCCCCATCTATAGCACCGTTGGTCTACAGCATTAACCTATGAGCTTTTTCTTATCAGTTAACTGACTATACATTTATATCCCTATCACTCACCCTTAACAGGTGATGTGGGGCCCGCCATGGCAGGGGGCTGCTCCAGTCATCCTTAATAGCCTCGATCTGCAGCAGACCCAAGCACTCCTCGGGCAGAGGCTGCTGCTCCAGCCCTAATGGAGCACTTCCCCCCCCCCAAATCTGTGCTCCCTTTAATCGGTTAAAATAATGTTTAATCAGTTAACCAATTAAACAACATTTTACTTGCCTACTTTCGTGCTAAAACACAGAGTTTTGGAATCTGGAAACATTCAGAGTTGAGCAGTTCAAGCCTCTCGATTCTTTTAAACCAGGATGAGGCTTTACAGAACTTGAAAAAAATGTGCTTTAAACATTTTAGTGGACTAGAAGGGGGCTGCCAGGGAGCGGGCTGGGGGTGCAGAGTGTGGGCTGGTAGTAGGGTGCAGGAACAAGCTGAGGTTAGGGTGGGGTCAGCTCCCCACTGCTGGGAGAGGCCTTGTGGACCTGTTAAAGGCAAGCCTGTGCACCATATCCAGGTCATAGGGCAAAGGTTCTCTCCCCTCTTCTAGAGCCTAGTTTAAAACCCTGGCTACGGAATAGCATTTTGATAAGAACACTTCAAAAATGGAACACTTTTTAGGTGGAACTCCAGTAACACCTCTGTTATAAGTCTGAATGAGAACAAATTAGGGATGTAAGTGAACAGTGGCTTACCCCACCCTTGCTGCTTCTATCAGGAGCTGATGCTGAGGAACTGGCTTAAAAGCTGATTTCCCCCAGCACCGTTTCCGCGGAAGCCAGGGGAATAGCAGGGACCAGGCACCAGCTTGCACCCAGTCCCAGATGCTGCAACTCTGCTTTTTAACTTTATTAATAGCCTATAAGTTCTTAATACATTTAAAAGGGAGAGCCGCAGTAGGGTTAGCACCCGGGACTGAGAGCTAACCCCGCTGCAGCTCCCCCGCTTATCGACTAGTCGATGCAAAATACATCAACTAGTCGATTACTTAAACTATATATAACATCCCTTGAACAAATGACAACTTTTTCCAATCCCACAGACCGTGGTGAAAAAAATGGCCATTAAAATAATACAATTCACTATTCTAATAGATTTTAATTTAAAATATCTTTAACAGGCAAAACAAATTGTGTTTTTAAGTACTCAAAAGTCAAATCTGTTAACTTTGATCACACTAGGTTAAGATTCCATGAAAGAATTGGTTGTGTACCAAGTAGTAAGATTTCTGAAAGGTCTAGTTGATGGTGGATCATTGAAAGCCAGACCCATGCAGTGGCAGAACATACACTGGCAGGTTGGCAAACATGGGAGAAGACAAGTTGAGGCTGGGAGAAAACTAAATACCATAAGTAGTTGGGACACTTAAGCATTATCTCTGCCAGAAATCATCTGAAGGTGCTTTAAAGGTGATCTGCTGAGAATGTATATGTAGTCTGTGAATCATCTATGAA